AATGAGAAAAAAAATGGAAATTGAAGAAGTTTGATAATTGGCGCAACACATTATGAACTCAAAACCATCGGCTGACAAATATTATTATACTAAGAAAAAGATAGTGACACAAAGTTAAATACAAGAGTTCATCAATTAATTGATTGTATATGTGTCAGATAAGTACATGGATATGTAATAATATTTGTTTGAATCAATGATTTTGTGTCAGGCTCCCAAAGATATCATACTTTGTTTGAACACTAATATTTGATTATTTCCGGTTTGAAACTCATATGAAGTCATTAGTCATGCAAAATAATATAAAGTTATAAACTCTTCCAGAGAGAGAAGGCAGACAATTAATTTAATCACACCAAAATCTTCTATTCAACTCACATTTTATTTTCCGTATGTATGTTATAAATATTATTATGTATACATATAATTTATCTGATGCAAAATACAAAATAGAATACAAAAATAAAGGTAAAAATCTCATTTCACCACGCGGCGAATTATATTAATCTGGTAACTCAGGTACCATGTGACATTGATGATTGAACAGAAATTATATGGCAGTGAAAATGAGACTTATCATGAGTTTGCTAGCAACTAGTTTCTGAATTAACGTGACTTGGTCAGTCGTATAATTAAATAAAATAATACCCACTTGTACTTTCAAGGACACCTACACAAATATTTTTAAAACAAGTATGTGAGGAAAATGTTGCGTCAATTAGTATGGGTGTGGCCATGGCCATTAATTATAAATTTGCTCAGAGAAAATTAGAAAAATGATTCATGTTCATTGGATGTGAAAAATTAATCATAGATACCATATATTATTATATTATATATTATAATTTCTTTTTCAATATTGAAGTAGTTAGAATATCATTGAATTTGTTAAACTAAATGAACCGTGAGCTCGACTTATTAAAGTTGGAACTTCTCTTAGCTCGTTTGTCTCGATTTTATTTAAAACATGTTTGGATAATATTCTTTGAAGCTCAAATATACGTATTTTAATTTAATATTTTAATACTCATTAATATTAATAAATGAATCAAGTTCGAGTTCATTTATCGATTCATTTAATTTTGATAAAAACTCGTGTGGAACTCAAGGATCAAGAGTTCGGCTGAGCTCCTCTTAACCTCTAATATCAAAGACTTTGAGATTATGGTGAAACGTGAACGTAGATTCTATGGCAATTGCCGAGCTGATTAGGAACTCAATAATTAAAAACAAAATGGAAAATTTTCTCAACAAAAAGATCTTGAAAATATTATTATTGGTCCATTTGGCTAGAAAATCTTGATAATATTATTATTGGTCCATATGGCTAGAAGATTTTTGCAACAAAAAGCTACGCGTGAAAAACAAATAAATGTTTAGGAGTTGGCGTTCTCATCACCCGTTTTATGTCGTGATGAATGAATTATATAATCAATAAATAAATAATGATATGTGATATAGTTGCCACCTTTTTATTTATTTATTATTTTTTTTTTTTTTTTGTAAATAGCAAAATCTACCACAATGTATTAGATGTTGATATTAATTAATTTAACTTCTGTGAGATATCAAAATGGGAAAGCAACCATGCAATGCCCTTTGTACGTACCATCAACATAGCGTAAGTTACAAATTGTGCTACAATTAAATGGTCGTCCATTTTATTTGAAAATCGGGTGAATTTCACCGAGTAGTTTTATTCATGCGATCAACAAACATCTGCACTAAATCCCATGTTGTATTAATAATCATGAGAAGTCCTTAATAAAAACCAAACGGGGAACATTACATGTTAATATAATTTATAACATTTTATGAAAAATACTCTCATGAACACATACTAGTATTCGACCTGTGCATTTGCACAGATATAAATAAATTATTGTGAGTCTGTATGCATATAATGATTAATTATTTTCTTTCATTTTTTTGCAGACCAAATTTACAATTAAAAGAGTTAGAATATTTTTTTGTTTAAATTGCGTTTATCTGATTGGATGTAATGTATATTTTGGTACGTCTTTTATTTGTGAATTATTCATTTAGGAATTTCAAATATATTTTTTATTTTAAAAAAAAAAAATTAAATGTAACAACAATAATAACATCTAATCACATTATATGGTCAACATATTATATGGTCAACTGTCATTAATCAAAAGTTTAAAATGATTTTTGTAATTTTGAAGTGAAAAGTATTAATTATTTAATAACTAAATGAAAGATTAAATACATCAAAATGTAACGGTTTTTGAAGGGAAAATTGTTAAATTGCCACATAAAATTAAATAGGTTTTATTAGATGCTATTAGCTAGTAATTATATATATAGATTTGTAGGGTAAGATTAGCTATGAAACGTAATTATTGTACTATACAATAATTAATGATTCAATCCCAAAATCATGTTCATTCTTAACTAACTACATCATTAATGCTTATATATAACTTTATATGATCTTTTTTAAATATTCTCATGTTGTGCAATCTCTCAATCCTCTCATTATAAACCATTTCAATTGCCCAAAATACCATGGGCGCTACATGAAGGAAATATATAAGTTGTGAACATTGAGATGAGCAATGGCTAATGCATGCATATATAAGTTATATGAGCCATACTTGTAAGGAATATAAGACTTCACTTAGTCCCTACACTCAATAAATGGACCCTTTAAGTGTCTAAATGAACATAATTTATCAAAACCATATGAACCGCCTCACTATATCCTCCATAAATATGCAATCTTTCACATTTGAATTTCCATCATTCGTGCAAAACGTTTAATTTTCACGAAAAATACTTGAGTCATCCTCTGTTTCAAGGCTTATTAAATGTCGTATATCAAGTCGCAATAATCTCCAAATGAAATTCGAAAGATATATAAAGTACCAAAACCCTAGACGAAAGGAAACAAATCTAATGATGTGATAAATATGAGGTGAAGTTTTATAGTAAAATAGCAAACATCATATATTAGTTCAGTATGAAGATGATTGAATATAATAATTTCGTTACCAAAAAAGAAAAATAAACTAAAAAATTTAATTTTTTAGATTACCTTTTGAAATTTCATCTTTTTTTTTTCTATGAACAAATGTTTTCCATTCTTCTATAATTTGTTTCTTACAATATGTAAATTATATCTAGTTTTGCCTCGTCACGTAAATTGTTTTCACCCGGACGTGTCACATTTGGTTGGATATACGTTTTTTACCCCGCTCTCTAACAATCTAAGTTTTTCACCCCAAAAAATGCGAAGGTTATGCAAATGATTCGCATAACTGTCGCATATTCACCCTAATGCGAATATCTTCACATTTTTTAACTTTCACACAATGTCATTTGCACCATTATCACATAATGTCTTCGCATTTTCTAGGTTGAAAAAGTTAACATTTTATCCAACGGAGTGAAAAATTTATTCAGTCTTCATAACGAGTGTAAATAACTATTTACTCTTTTTTTTTTTTCAAAACATCTACTTCTCTTCCTACTTTCTTTTTTTTTATCCATTCCTAGTTTTTTCTCCACTATCTCATCAACACAATTAAAAAATATAAATCAATTATTACTGCACAATTTCCAACAAAATTCACTCTTTACCCAATCACATATTTTTAAGTCATAATTATTATTCTATTTTTATATCATATTAACTTTAATTTTTTACGCTTTTAATCTCATTCACATTCACAAACTGAAAAATAATTCATTCTTTCACTCAATTTTTTTCCCATTTCTTCCATCACTTAATACTATTGAGATTTTGTTTTTTCAAAATACCCGCACCATAAAAATTAAAGTAATTTACCTAAAAGTTAAGAGTAATTTACCCAGAACACCTACAAAAGTAAACAGACGAATAATACTTGAGCTTCATATTGCAAAACCAATTAAAACCCATCTTCTCCAACAGTAGAAACAAAGGTTTCATATTGCAAAACCAATTAAAACCCATCTTCTCCAACAGTAGAAACAAAGGTTGGCACATACTGGATGGTGTGAATGAATGCCGTTCCCATCAAAATCAAAAACATTAAAAATTATTATAAATAAAATTTCCAGACTGCCAGGATATACCATATAGAACTGTTATTAGAGCATTTACAATGAATTGAATCTAGTTTTGCTTATATGACATGTAAATAGACTTAAATCTTGGATGACATGAAAAAAAATATTGAAAAGTAATGATATTAAACTTCAATGCAAAGAGACTAAGTCTCTATTTGAGTCTAAAATAGCATAAATTCTATGGCGCCCATATGGGCACCATATGGTGCCATAATCTCACAATCCAACGCCTAATATCCATTCTATCAATTCCACAATGAATATTAGGCGTTGGATCGTGAGATTATGGCATCATATGGTGCCCATATGGGCACCATAGAATTTATGCTAAAATAGACTCAAGTGCTTGAGTCTAAAATAGACTCAAATGTAGACCGGGCTCATTTTTTTTGCTACCACATCAGCAGGACCCAGTTCAATTGCATTTGCGTTGGAGAAAATATTTTTCTAAACTGGTCTATTTCCTACGTGGATTGTATATTGAAAGAACCCAAAACATTGTCGATGCTCTTATATATACCTCAGTAAAATATCTATTTATTTAAAATTACTTATCAGACCCCCCTTTTTTCCAGGGATCCGCAATCAAATTATAAAATTATTATTGATATCTCCTCACTTTCATGATAATAACTTCAAAGGTACAAGTGGGGGTCTCTAACCACGTGATGATGCATACAAGAGATAACCTTATTTTCAAAATTTCATGACCAAAGCCATGTGCCCTTTAATGTAGATAAAACCCAAAATCTTGAAAATATATATACATGCAAAAGTTCTTTCAAAGACTTCACATTGAAGCAAAAGCACATCCCAAAATCTTGAAAATATATATACATGCAAAAGTTCTTTCAAAGACTTCACCATTGAAGCAAAAGCACATCTCAATTCCCACATACCAGCAAAAACAACCAAAACAATCAAAACTCAGAAGCCAAATATNAGAAACAAAGTATGGCTATTCGTTTCCATTCGTTGATTTCGAACGCTAAGCAATTCTCCAAAATTCAGTCCCTTCTCAATAAAAATCAACCGGAAGTGCCGAAAGGCCATCTGGCAGTTTATGTCGGGGAATTTCAAAGGAAAAGGTATGTGGTGCCGATAACGTACCTCAACCACCCGTTATTTCAAGATTTGTTGCAACAAGCGGAGGAAGAATTCGGGTTCAATCATCCAATGGGAGGACTTACAATTCCGTGCAGTGAAAATGTGTTTGTTGAAATCACTTCAAGATTGCAGCTGTAATGATGCAAGAAGATTAACAAAACAGCAATGTCAACAGTTTTTTATTTTATTTTTATTTTTTTATTTTTTTATTTTTTGGTTTGGAAAGAAATAGATGTAGGATGTAGATTCACATAGGTAAAAAAAGGAGAGAGAGATTCTTTTTCTTTTCCTCTTTAAGGAAATGAAAATTCTGTTGAACAAAGTATGAATTGAATATTTGATCAATTTGACCATCTTGCTATTTTGCAATTACTAGCTCGAGAAGCTTATATATAAATATACAGGTGCCATAATTTGATCTAATCTGTGTATGAAATGATAAGAAAAATCCATAAACAGATAGTGATCAGAGGACAAAAATCAATCCATAAACAGATAGTGACATAAGACTATGTTTCATCCTCAGCCTGAACCAGAAACACACGCACACACAATTATAAAGAAAATTCTAATTTTAACAATCTGGAAATTAACTAGAAGTTTGAGTATTCCTCTTCATAACAGAGTAGAGAGAATTCATTTAGCTATTTAAAAACTCGGCAACAAAATCCGTCATCAGTCGCCTTTCAAATTTGCCTTTCTCATTGTAAGTATTAACGTCACATTATATCTCATAATAAACATAATGCTACAAGTTTACACCCAAACGCGCCTGGACCCTATTTTAAGCAATTTAGTTGTGCAGGATATACATATATATGTGTGTGTTTTAGAAAACAAATGTTACCATTAACAAAGCACAGTAACATTAGTGGTGTAAGCAGTTACTCAGGTTCATGACTTGTAAGCAGTTAAAAAATAAAATATATGTTTCTTAGATTGTTTCCATAAATCTCCTAGAAAGTACCAAATATTATAGCTACTTTTACTTTAGAGTCTCACCTTTGAATTGAAATTCCAAATTTATCACTTGTGACCTGAGCTAAGTTGACTTGATACATAAAAAGAGTGAATATATCAAAAACAAGGGTTAGATGCAGATAATATTCCCAAATACTTCCTTAATTAAACAAAATATTCCCAAAGACATTGAAAAAGTCCCCGAAAGCTGCAAGCCACTTGCAGGTACAACTTGCTGACGGTGTCCATAAATCTGCAGTCTTCAGATACTTATACCATCACATTCGTCTTTAACACACAACAAATTCAAACAAAAAGCACATACCCAAATATCGTTGTCTTTACAAATCCCAGTTTTTAAGGTGTTGATGTTTTGAAGCAACCCACAGTGCCCCTCCTACAATGAGATCATGAGACCAAGTATAGGGAGAGTTTTAAATAGTCCATCAAGACATGAATATTTTCATAAGATTTTTTTTACACATTATTTAAAAGTTAAAATAAAGATATAAATAAAAAAAAAAACCCTAAACTTTTGTTTCAAAACTTGATTTTTGCGATGAAAATATGTTTTTCACATTAAATGTTAGTTTTGTGTGCGAAACCAAGTTTTTCCGATAAATTTTGGTCTCTAGTTACTATTCTTCATGAGTTTTTTTAATAAAAAAACATATATATCAATCATTAAACCTTCCCAGACTCCCAGCTGATAAAAAAAAATAATAAAAAAAAAAAATCCACCGTTGCACCTGATTTCACTCACCAACTTGGCCTCTTATTGGCTAGCCTAATACAAATGGTATAAATATGTGTACAAATCAACCCTCTGTCCCAATTCCTACAAAATCCAAACAAAGCAAACATGTTCAGACACATAAAAGAGTTTCTTATTTCATATCCAAAGAAACATGTTACAAACTTCCGTTTTCGACATCACCGAATTCAATCTACTCTAGCCCGGAACCAACAATCAGATGTTCCTAAAGGTCATTTGGCAGTTTATGTAGGAGAGTTCCATAACAGGCATGTAATACCGATATCGTACCTGAAGCATCCTGCATTTCAAGACTTGTTACGGCAAGCCGAACAAGAGTTTGGTTTCGATCATCCTATGGGTGGCCTGACATTTCCTTGTAAGGAGGAAGCCTTTGTCAACTTGACTTCTGAGCTGGGTATGTCATGAAGTACACGGCTTGTTCGTGCTCAACCAACAAAATTTGAGCTTTCTTCTACCTCAATAGCATAGTGGTATACTCCTGTAGAAANATGTGACCAATAAGGGTCGCACAAAAAAAAAAAAAAAAAAAAAGAAAAAAAAAAATAGAAGAATTAGAATCATGATTAGAGCATAGGGATTTTTGAAATATTCTTTTATTCTTATACTTGGACATTTAGAGTAGGGACTTCTTACCAAAAGAGTTTCTGCTTGTGTCCACTGACTTGATCATTTTATACATAATCACTACAAAAGCAGATGTACAAGCAATCATGTTTAACGTTCCTCAATTCATATGAAAAGTGTAATCTGCCAGTAATTGAAGCTCAAATAGCACAATTATCTGGAAATATTTCAGAGAATTAAGCAAAGTTCTGAAATTCCTTGTTTGTGCAAAACGTTTTAATTTCCACGAAAATATTTGAGTCATCCTCTGTTTCAAGGCTTATTAATACTGTATATCAAGTCTCAATAATCTCCAAAATGAAATTCGAAAGATATATAAAGGACTCAAACCCTACACAAAATAGGAAACAAAACTAATGATGTGATAAATATGAGGTAAAATTTTACATTAAAATTGCAAACATCATATATTAGTTCATTAAGGAGATGATTGAATATAATAATTTCGTTATAAAAAAAGTAAAAATGAACTAAAAATTTAAGTAAATTCTAAATTATTTTTTCTAGATTATACAAAATCCATATGGTTATTTTAATTTTTCAGACCACCTTTTGAAATTTCCTTTTTTTTTTTTCTATTAACAAATGTCTTTCCATTCTTCTAAAATTTGTTTCATACAATATGTAAATTATATCTACTTTTGCCNAAATTCACTTCCGCTCATTTTTTCCTCTTTCTTTTCATCACTTTTACTATTAAGATAATTTTTTCCAAAATAATTTATACCCACACCCTAAAAATTAGAGTAATTTACCTAAAAGACAAAAGTTAAGAGTAATTTACCTAGAACAAGTACAAGTAAACAGAAAAGAATAATACCTGAGCTTCATTTTGCAAAACCGATTAAAGCCCATTTTCTCAAATAGTAGAAACAAAGGTTGGCACATGCTGGATGGTGTGAATGAATACCTGGATGGCTGGACCCATCAAAATCAAAAACATTAAAAATATTATAACTAAAATTTCCATACTGCCAGGACATACCATATAAACTGTTATTATTTGTACTCCTGTGGTACATCTATTTATTTAAAATTACTTATCAAACCCTTTTTTTCCAGGGATCTGCAATCAATTTATAAAATTATCGATTGATATCTCATCTCTTTCATGATAATAACTTCATATGTACAAGTGGGGGTCTCTAACCACGTGATGATGCATACAAGAGATAACCTTATTTTCAAATTTCATGACCAAAGCCATGTGACCTTTACTATAGATAAAACCCAAAATCTTGAGAATATATATACATGCAAAAGTTCTTACAAACACTTCACCATTGAAGCAAAAGCACATCCCAATTCTCACAGACAATCAAAAACAACCAAAACTCAAAAGCCAAATATTTATTCACATCATTTTTTTTTTTAAATACGAGAAACAAAGTATGGCTATTCGCTTCCAGGCGTTGATTTCGAACGCTAAGCAATTCTACAAAATACAGTCCCTTCTCAATAAAAATCAACCGGAAGTGCCAAAAGGCCATCTGGCAGTTTATGTCGGGGAATTTCAAAGGAAAAGGTATGTGGTGCCGATAACGTACCTCAACCACCCGTCGTTTCAAGATTTGTTGCAACAAGCGGAGGAAGAATTCGGGTTCAATCATCCAATGGGAGGACTTACAATTCCATGCAGTGAAAATGTGTTTGTTGAAATCACTTCAAGATTGCAGCTGTAATGATGCAAGAAGATTAACAAAACAGCAATGTCAACAGTTTTTATTTTTTTCATTTTTTTTTTATTTTTTATTTTTTTGTGTGTGTGTGTTGGGTTTGGAAAGAAATAGATGTAGGATGTAGATTCACAGCTGTAAAAGAAAGAGGTAGAGATTCCTTTTCTTTTCCTTAACTCTTTAAGGAATAGAAAAATTCTGTATGAATTGAATATTTGATCAATTTGACCATCTTGCTATTTTGCAATTACTAGCTTATATATATAAATACAGGTGCTAGAATTTGATCTAAACTACGTATGAAATGATAAGAAAATCCATAAACAGATAGTGTTCAGAGGACAAAAACCAATCCCAACTTTAAATTCTTTGATGTCAAGAGTCATAGAAGGGGAGTAGAGAACCACTATTAATCTTCT